TATATATATATATATATTAGATACAGAAGATACAATCATTTTTAACAAAGAGGCTATCTGGTTTGAAATAAAACGACTGTAAAATATTTCAAATATAGGGGTTTTGAGAAAATCGATGTTTCGTTTGATGTAAAACAAATGTAGTATAAAATTTTAATGTATTTGAAATTTATCTTATTATAATTCAATTTTGCTATATTTGAATTTCATTTGAAAAAATTCAAATACACCATAAATTCATCATCATTGCCACCGCCACCAAAATATGTTAAAAATATATTTAAGAAAAAAAATTATGAAAGTGTGCTTTGAATCATCATCCACAGCCGACTAATCATGAAAAATGAATCTGAGAGTAATATCAGTCAGAACAAAATGAAAAAAAAATTGATAATCTTTTTTTTTTTTTTGAAACTTAATATTTTCTTATTCTTGAGAGTTAGAAAACTTCTTTCATTGAAAGGAGAGAAAAAAATAATTGTTGCGTCCTGGAATATTCGCGGCGGTAGAGAAATATTTAGTTTAACGTCTTAGCATTGTACGAAGATCCAGCACACAAGCAGATAAGTGAGAGGGCTTCACGTATTAATCACAAGCTCCAAACTGATTAAACCTCTATATGATTTCTGAACTGAAACTTGGATCAGAAGCTTCTTTTATTTCTAACATGAAAAACCATCGAGCTCTATATGATTTCTAAGCTGAAACTTGAATGGAAAAGTAGCAGAAATGTTTAAGTGATTGCAATGAAATTGAAGCTAAGGAAATGGAACAGTTAATCCTCTAATACTTACCTTGTTGCTCGCAAAGACAGGCAAGAGCAGGAAAGCAGAGATGAGGAAAGTGAGCAAAACAGAAGGAGCTCTCATCATCTTGATCTCCATTTCTTCTCAGCTCACACTTTCTGGGATTTGAGACCTTCTCTACAGGCAGGGAGATATATCAGAACAGATGGATGCATATATACAGCAGGCGATAAATGACTGAATAACAAGTAATTAGTGCAATTTAAAGCTCATGAGATGATACTGATTTCATTGTGAGCGTTATAGAAGATGGAAATGGAAGTTGTTAGGAATTGGAGAAAATGTATGCGACAGGCTGCATTCAGCGAGTAGATTGCGGCCATTTGTAAGTAATATTGACTGCTTTTATGCTGTAATATGGGTCCTCTTAACAGAATTAATTGAAATATTCGCGTCTAGATTAAGTAATAGCTTGCTTTAAAAGCCCGTTTTAATTTTATTGATGACTTTCAATATAAGGCTTTTTTTGGGACAGCTTTTTACACTACATTTTTTTTTGTTGCTTTTGATAAATTTTTGTACTAAAAAGTTATCGTAGAAAGCAGTAAGAAAGCTATGCCAAACGAAGCCTAAATAATAAGTATATGAATTACTTTGGAGTTATTTGGATAAGTATAAAATAAATACAAAGAGTTATTTTTTTTGTTTGGCTTAAAATAGTACGGTATTAAAACTATATATATGTTTCATAATAAAAAACGATCGATTCATACCATGCATCTGACATAATTGTCCGGAGTTTTGATTCATCGAACGGGTGTAAGTCAAATCCAAGGGTTCATAGGACCAATATGAGTCATCTTTAGTCTGGCCAAAGTATGCTATGTTGATTATAAAGTTGATTAATGTGTCATACATTAAAAATATGAAAATAAAATACACTTTAGATATATTAGCATGCATTCAGTATTTCAAGTACAAAATTATTAAGATATTTAAAAATTACATATCATTTTCTTATATTAAATTATTCCTCACTATTTTCTTCTAATTTCGTCTTCTTTAACCATTCTATTATAATAATTGTATGAATCATAAGCCTTTTCTCTTTTTCAAAATAAATAGGTCTCAAACTCTTAGAATAAAGCTTGAGCTTGAGCTCAAATACAATTAATTAATCAAGCTCAAACTCAAAGCCTATGGCGGCCAAAGCTTGGCTCGATCCGTTGACACCCCTAACTACAAATATCCCATCAAGATAAAAACAAACAAACAAACAAATAAGAGAGAAAGACAATATTATAGTCATATAAAGTATTAGCGGACAACTTACTGTGGAGACTGGAAGAGATGAACGGAGTCAGCCAGAGAGAAAGACAAAAGAGATCGGCAAAGTTCCTGTGGATAGTGTAGGAGAGGATCAATGGCTCGAATACGAATAGCAAGTCATGGCAAGGTTTGATGATGATCGAATTAAAATATACTTAAGTGAATTATTTTTTATCCCAAAAAAGTTTGAAGAGAGGTTTATTTATATAAGGGGTATTGGTTTAAAAATGCGTAATAAAAGGGATAAAAACTACAATTTTCTTTTTTTATTCAAGCAATGAATAGAAATATTTGAAACAAATTTATTTATTTTTAGGAAATTTTAGCTTTATATATCTCATAATACCAGTAATTGGTCAAATATTCATATTATTTGTTTTCTTGGATAAGCATGCAGTCAGCTCATTTTGGAACGAGGACTTCTGTTATATAAAATTATAAGTCATAATTTATACCAATTTGAGGGTTCTTGTGTGAACACTAGGGGTGCAAACGAGTCTAAGTCAAGCTCGAGTCAGGGTGTGTTCGAGTCGAGCTTGACTTTCAAAGACCAAGCTCGAGCTCGAGTCGAGCTCAAAATCCGAGCTCAAGCTCGACTCGTCTTCTTGTCGAGTGGCTCGTCGAGCTTCACTGAACACTCAGGTTTTGCTTGGGACGTTTTTTTTAGTATTTTGTGAAGCAGTTTTTTAGTATAAAAATTTCTTGAAAGCAATAAAAAATCATTGATATAAAGTTATCCCAAACAAAGCTTTAGGCTAAGTTTGAGACATCTTTCTTATTTCTGTTAAAGTAGCTTTTTAGTATAAATTTTTTTTTAAATAAAATTTTTGATACTAAAAACTGCTTTAAGAAGCACTAAGCAAGCTGCCTCAAACAAAGCCTAGGTTTCATTTGAGATAACTTTTTTATTGCTTTCTAAATCAATTCTTTAATACATTATAATAAAAGACAGTAAGAAAATCGTCCCAAACTAAAACAAATTGTCAAATTGTATTATCCAAAGCAGAACGGCTGATCAAATTTGTTTGAGCCTTATCAAGTGGGAGGTTTTCATAAACAGACTTAGAAATATTCAATATATGGCCAACGCACTTTGTTTTTTCTGCTGTAGTATTGTTGTTTCAGCTTTAGATTTTTTTTTTTAACCATTGTCAAACGAATAGACGCTATCTTTCCACTTAAATTAGTCATTGGCGTGCAAATCTTTTTTATATTTTGATCGAAAGTTTTGACTATAAATTAATAGATTTTGAATTTAAATTTTATATATGTAATATTTACATGAGTTTGTCTTAATTGGCTTAAATGTCTAAAAGAAAAAGTCATTACAATTGATTTAAAACTAAACAAATGGAAAAATTAGATTAGTGGTTGTAAATGGATAATTTAGAGGTGTAAGTGAGTCATATCGACTCGTGAGCCGGCTTGGAACCGGCTCATTAAATGGTTCTTGAGCCAAATTTGATGAGCTTACAAGTCAAGTTTGAGCTAGCCTTGACTCAACTCTTTAGCTTGCAAGCCGGCACATTTGGAAAAATAGTAATTTAAAATTCACTTAAAATATATTAAATCCAGGATATGAAGGACAAAATTATTAAAAATGTTTTGGATTTCTATGCCACTTTCTTATATTAGAGAAATTATTCTGTGCAGACACAAACCAGATCGTCCGAAAGAGAATTAGAATGAGCCACTTCACCCGGTACACAGTCGCGGTACACAACAAATGGGTGACGTGACGCGTTCTGATTCGCCTCCGGACAGCGTCCGTATCCGCACAGAATAATTTCACCTTATATTAAGTTATAATTTATTGTTTTCCTTCAAATTTTTAATTTTTTTTATCATTTTATTATAATAATTGCTCAAATTAGAATCATTCTCTTTCTTTGATAGTAAACAAGCTAGCTCGTGAGTTAGCTCGAATCGTTAAATAAAGCTCGAGCTCGAGCTCAAACTCAATTAATTAATTAAGCTTAAGCTCAAGTCAAGGATGACACAAGTGTAGGAAAACAGATAGAGCTCACTGGAATGCCAGAGAATCATGCTGGAAAGGGAAAATAAGAAAAGTAAAGCAGTGATTCATTGATTTGTCTAACTATTACAATAGTATATAAAGATAGAAAAAGTAAAGAAAGGACAAAACAACTTTAAAGAAGGTACAAGATGAAGTTAACGTTGCAAAGGTGATCAATCTCTCTTTGCCATGTGTAAGGTGGCTAATAGCCCCCTCAAACTTATGGGTGTGCAACAACAGTGAGTTTGGTTGACAGCGTTTTGAACCGGTTGTTTGGCATGGCCTTAGTGAACAGATCGGCGAGCTGATCTTCGGTGCATATGTGATGGACCGAGATGTTATTTTTCTTTATGCAGTCTCGGATGAAATGGCAGTCCACCTCGATGTGCTTCGTTCGAGCATGGAAAACTGGATTGTTGGCGAGAGCGATGGCGGAGGTGTTATCGCAGTAGACTGTAGTAGGATCGAGCTGCGGTGTATGGAAATGTTGTAGAAGTTGACGGAGCCATATAACCTCGGTGGCTTCGGTGGCTAGAGCGCGGTATTCGGCTTTTGTGGAGGACCTAGCGATTGTATTTTATTTCTTCACTTGCCATGATATGAGCGAGGTGCCGAGAAAGTTACAGTATCCGGAGTTCGATTTACGATCTTGATTGTTGCTAGCCCAATCTGCATCCGCATGGCCTTTTAGAATTAGATTAGAACGGTTTAGAGGTATACCTTTATCGAGTGAGCCGTGTATATAGCGGAGAAGGCGTTTCAAGGAATCGAAATGGATGTTAAGAGGTGCTTGCATATGCTGGCATAGTTGTTGAACCGCGAATTATATGTCCGATCGGGTAATAGTTAGGTATTGAAGTGCACCTATGATTTGCCTGTAGAGCTGCGGGTTGGCGTATGGTTCATTGGACGTGGCCGAGATGGTAGTTCTGCAGGATATTGGAGTAGAGACAGGTTTCGATTGTTCCATGTCGGCCCGGTGTATGATTGTTTGGGCGTATTTTTGCTGATGAAGAATCATGCCAGTTTTGGTCTTAGCGGTTTGTATGCCGAGGAAGTGAGATAATGACCCGAGGTTTCTCATCTGAAATTTGGTGTTTAGATTAGCGAGTAATTTATTGATTTCAGATGTAGAGTTACCTGTAAGTAGAATGTCGTCGACGTATATGAGCATATAGATGCGAATTTGCACGGAGGTGTATGTGAGGAGCGAATGGTCTGAGTTGCTGATAGTGAACCCGAAATTGATAAGATGATTGGATAGAGTAGCATACCACTCCCTTGGTGACTGTTTGAGGCCATAAAGGGCTTTCTTGAGCTTACAGACGTGTTGCGGATGTTGCGTGTCTTGGAAGCCCGGTGGTTGAGACATGTAGACGGCGTCGGTCAGTGTTCCGTGGAGGAATGCATTGGAGATGTCTAGTTGATGAATGATCCAGTTGTGGTGAAGAGCTATTAGGATGAAGACGCGTATTGTCGGCATTTTGGCAATTGGGCTGAACGTTTCGTTGTAGTCGATGCCATGTTCTTGGTTGAATCCTTTTGCTACTAACCTTGCTTTGTGTCGGGCTATAGATCCATCGGAGTTGTATTTGATTCTGAACGTCCACCTAGATCCGAGGATGTTCATGGATGTGTTGGGCGGAACCAGTTCCCAAGTACCTTGTGCTTGTAGAGCTTGAAATTCTTGGGACATGGCTGTTCGCCATTGTTCAGATTTTGCTGCCTGGTTGTAAGTGGTAGGTTCGGTTGGCTGTAGAAGGTGAGTTAAGTTGAAGATCTGCTTCGATTTTGAGACTCCTCTTTTGAGACGAGTGACCATGGGGTGATTTGGGAGGTTTGAGGTGGTAGATGGAGGCGTAATGTCCTGGTGAGGCGAGTTGGTTTGACTGTCAACAGTCAGGTTTGGGTGCGGTGGTAAGGTGTTGTGGCTGGGATTAGTAGCAGATCTGGTGGGTTGAGGATGGTTGTTTTGATGATGTGTATGTGATGTTTCTTGAGGAGCATTTTTGACGGTCTTGGGAAGGCTTATGTTAGGAACCAGAAGGAGAGGAGGGAGGTAAGGCGGTGAGGTAGAATAGGGTGCCATCGGAGCTAGTTTGGTGGAATATGGAAAAATAGTTTCGTTAAAGTTGACGTGCCGTGATATGTAAACTTTGTTAGACTTTGGTTCCAGGCATTTATAACCTTTTTGAGATTGAGCGTAACCTATGAAAATGCAGGGATGAGAGATGGGGGATAGCTTGTTGGAGGTGTATGGTTTGAGCCATGGGTAGCAAAGGCAGCCCAAGACTTTGAGATGATTGTAGTCGGGTTGCTTGCTGTGTAGAATTTCATAGGGGGATTTATTCCGTGTGTTGGGAGAGGGCATGCAGTTGATAAGGTAGTTGGCGGTGAGCAGGGTGTCGACCCAAAGATGCGACGGTAAGGAGGCTTGTATGAGAAGTGTCCGAGTGGTTTCTATAAGGTGCCGATGTTTGCGTTCGACGACGTCGTTTTGAGACGGCGTGTGCGGGCAGGAGGATTGATAACTTATACCAAGAGTTTTGCAATACATTTTGAATTTATTGTTCATGAATTCGCCACCGTTATCGGTGCAAAGAATCCGAATTTTGCGATTGAGTTGTCATTCAACAAATTTTTGAAATTCGACAAATTTGTAAAAAACTTCGGATTTATGTATTATGGGATATATCCATGTAAATTTGGAAAAGTCATCTATAAAAGAAACATAGTATCGGAAGCCTTGGGAGGATGCTATAGAGAACGGTCCCCAGACATCCGATTGAACAAGATCTAACAAGTTTGTAGTTACAGTTTGTGATAGAGGAGTAGGGAGACGATGGCTTTTGATCCTACAAGAGTTACAAGAAGAGGTAGTAGCGGTAGTATATACGGAGCCTGATCTGTTTGCTATGCTTGGAAGAATTTGAGCTGAGGGATGGTCGAGGCGGCGATTCCACAGGTCCGGTACTTGTTGAATGGAGAGCAGAGCAAGCTGTTTGGTATTGGCTGC